TCCTCCTCTTCCTCCTCCTCTTCCTCCTCCTCCTCCTCCTCCTCCTCCTCCTCCTCCTCCTCCTCCTCCTCCTCCTACCTCCTTCCTTGGAGGACGCCTTGAGCATGCCTACGGCAGATCGCTTCTTTGATTTGTACAGCGACGTGTTGACTTCTGCTGGACAGGAGGTGTTCGGAGCCGTTCCTCGCCCTCATGCGTGTGATGATGGCCTTGCGCGTGAACGTCTGGTGTTGCCTGAGGAGCGTCGTCGGCTTCGACTCGCACTGGCTGGCACGGACGAGGAGGGGGAGGAGCGTGTTCGACAACGTCTTCAAGAGATATCTAAAGCACATCGGCGCAATCGTCGTGAAGCCTTTCGTAGGTGGCAGGAGGCTTTGTTTGAAGAGATTCGTGAATTATGGGCTGGCCGTCAAGTGGCGGAAGCGGCGAGACTTTCTCGGCGAGTCGCGGGCTCCAGATGGGGACCGAAGCGTCGTGACTAACAGGCTGTCCGGGGCACCGTGGAGGACACTGCGGCCCTGGCGGCTGCGTTTGGACGCGCGGGACCTGACGGAGGCATGGAGGCGGTGCCGATCGGGGACTGGGAGGAGTGGCGCGCCTTTCATCTTGGCGGCGTACCTCGTTGCGACGTTCCCGAGGAACACCTTCGTGCTGCTACCCGGGACCTGCGTGCGTTACGGCATCATCTCCTCCGGGCCGGCAAAAGGCGCGGCGGCCCTGAGTGGGCCCCTCCTCTGGAGGTCTGGTGGCTTGCTCTGCATCCCACGCGACGCGTGTCTCGACGCCTTCGGGGTCTCGGGTTCCCGACGGAGATGCCGGACGTTTCCAGTTTCAGTGAGTATTTGGTGAGAGGGCTGGCCTTGCTGAGGGCCTGTGGGTTGGCGCCCTTGCGGTGGCATCGTTCTCGGGGGGTACCTCTTCTTCGAGTTGATGGGCGTACGCGGTGGATCCACTTACTCGATCCTTTCGGGAAATCTTGGATGTCTGCGTTGATGGCCCAGAAAGGGCCTCTGTCGGCTACACCTCAGGATCACGGGTTCTTAAGTACTGCCGGCGGGAGGGGGCCATTATTGTACAGAATTCGGTTAGCTATTTATTGGCGCCGAAGGGGGTCGCGCACGTGACGAACGCGCACGACTTGAGCAACGCCTTCGCTTCGAGTGGCCGTGCGGCCATGCTTTCTGCATCACGCTCGCTGTTCCGGCTGCGAGACCAGTGTTTTGGGCGTCAGCGCATTACGCGCTCTACTGTGACATTGAGTGGGCATGATGGGAATATCAATATGCTGCCGCAGTGCGGGGGTCAGATGGGGGACGGCTTCGCTGTCAACACGTTCGTGCGCACTTTCATTGGCCCTGTGCAGCAATGGTCGTCGAGGCAGGCTGCTTGGGATGCCCATGCTACTGGCTTAACTGCTCGCTGCTCGGTGACATATGACGACGTAGATGTATCTCTGACGAAGTACGCAGACGATTTGACAAAGAAGCTCTTGGTAGATTCTGTGACTGTGGGGAACCCTGTAGACTCTCTTACAACACAGTTGTCCAAGAAATGCCAGGCCTCGAATGACGATTTGGATGCTGCGTTTGGGGCGGCGGGTTTTCGGCAGAATCTTAGCAAGCAGGATACGCTCCGTCACTTCTGCGGCGCTGGCGCCGCGACGGCGCTGAGGGCTGTCAAGCATGGTGTGCGCTCATTTCCTGGCAAGCCTGCGTGCGAGATCAAGAGTTTGGGATCCATGCTCATGTCTGATGCGACTCGGTATGGGGCCGAGTTGGGCTCACGAATCTCCGCTATCCGAGGGGCCTGGCATTCCATGGGGGCCTTCTGGACCTTGCGAGGGATCCCACATCGATTTCGACGCTGCATGTTCATCTCCAAGATATACACTATGGCGTTGTCTGGGGTGGAAGCGTTTGTCCCTACCTCTAACCAACTCTTGCAATTGACTCGCGTGGTTGCGGGGCATGCCCGGCGGGCGATGCGAGTGGAAGCCTGTTCTTGGTAAGGGGCCCATCCGAAAACCTTCACGTCCGCCGAAGTCCTTGCCTGGTGGAGATTGGTCCCATTGGAGGTGGAGGCCAGAGTTCGTCATCTCAAATATTGGCAGTCTCTTGTGCAACACCCCGTTACTCATCAACAGGTTGTTACAGTATTGTTTGGCCATTTATCCGCAGACTTTCCCGTTGTGGTCTCGAACGGGCGTCTCGTTGAGGTCTCCCTGACCCCGTGGGCCCGCCAGTTCTGCGACGATATCCGAAGTTTGGGAGTGTTGGACGAGGGAGCTGTCTTCTTAGAGGCCCTGGACGAGCGTTTCTTCTTACTCTTCACAGTGGATGAGATGCGCGAGAGTTTCGTGACGCTGGGTGTTTGTCAGCTTCGAACGGTAGCACTGTCGGTCGCGATCCCTCCTCTTGGCTTCTCGCCCGTGCCTGATTCGTCGCCGATCGTTGCTGACAGGCAGAATGAGGGCATGTTTCGTTGCATGGTGGTGGGGGAGGACGGGGAGCCGTGCTGTCAAGTGCTACGGGATCGCCGTGCGGTCCACACTCATCTCATCGCGGATCACGGCTACCAAGATGTGGCGCACGTCGTGTGTGTCTCGAACCAGTGCCCTGTATGTGCGAGTGTTTTCGCGCATGCGTGCTCGTGTCGCCGGCACCTGCCTCGCAGTCTTCTTCGCGGCTACTGCAACGTGGACTCGACTCGTAACTTGTGTGCGGTGCGTGTACCTGGTTCGTTGCAATGCCCATTGTGCGATTATGCAGCCGGGGAGTTTGCTCAATTGCAGCGGCATTTGTGATCCCATCTCGATTGCCCCGTCGCGTACCATGGACCGCACTCCGGCGTGGATGCTGAAGCGTCGGGCCGACGCCGAGGAGCCCGACAGCCAGGCCAGCGGGGCCAAAAAGCCAGGGCAGAGCAGCTGATCGAGGAGGCTTCGAAGGAGTCGGGGGGCAAGGGCGGCGCCGCGCTCCTGAAGGCCTTGGTGCTGGTGCTCACCCGCCTGTCGCTGTCGAGCGCGGCCGAGCTGCGCGACGTCTGTGGGGTCGTGTTCTTGACGTGGCTCGTCGACGCCAGCAATCCCGCGATGAAAGCCGCCCGCGTCGCGGGCCGCACGCACCACGAGCAGGCGCAGCTGAAGAAGACCGAGGGGGAGGAGGCCAGTGCGGACCTCGGTCCGCCGTTCGTCCATGTGTGGGCGGCGCTCGTGCACGGCATGGGGACCGATCCGAAGTGCCCGCCGCGCGCCCGGGAGATCTTCGAGCAGTGCTGGCAGGAGAAGATCTGCGCGAGGGAGCTCCAGCAGGTGGCGGAGGAGATCCGGGCGTGCCGGGTGCGCCCGACGCGCAAGGGCGAGGGCAAGCCGGACAAGGTGCGGGTCACGCTGTCTGTCGATCGCGGCCACGATGGTCTCGAGCGAGCGGTGATCCAGTACATGCAGGCCGTGGGGGCGGTCCGCAAGATCGGCCCGGCGCCTCGCGGTGCCTTGGAGCGCGACGCCGCGAAATTCTTGGCGAAACTCGAGGGGAAGTGAGTCCCTTGGTGAGTAGTTCCCGCCCCGTTCCCTCCTCCCCTCCTCCCCTGCCTCAGTCGAGAGGCCGCCAACGTGCTCCGGAGAAGCGTTTCCGGAGCACGTTGGACGATTCTCGACTGCCTCCTCCTCCTTCCCCTGCGTTCCGCGGCAGCGCCCGCTTTCTGGAGTTGCAGGCGCGCGGTTTCTTCGATGCCCCTGGGAGGGGGCAGGTGCAGCCCGAGGAACCGCAGAATGTGACCCTGGAAGTTTTGGATGACCCTGCCCGGTATGAAATCCTTGGGATCGCCCAGGATCGGGGCCGAGTTTTTGTGCAGCAGCCCCGCGCCAAGCCAAGTGGCCGTGGCCGGGGTAGAGGTGGAGGTAAGGCTCCGCCTAGGACGTCGAGTGTGTAGTTCTCTTCTGTGGGAGAGTCTGGACGGGGGTAGGAGCAATGCCGTGGAGCACCCCAAGCGGTACACCCCGCTTGTGGGGCGGCTCTTGGTTTGTGCGCATCCCGCCAACAGGGCGACTTGACCGACAGCGCGCCTTTGAAGGCCACCCAGATCCTGTTTTTGAGTGTCCTGATGCCCGACGCGGGTCTGCGCTCGCAGAGGGCCTCGGATTGCAGTGGACACAGGGTCCCAGGGTTTCGCTCGCTCGCTCGCTCGCTCCTCCTCCGCCTCCTACTCCCCCTCCTCCTCTTTCTCCCCTCTTCGTCCTCCTCCTCCTCCTCCTCCTCCTTCCTCCTCCTCCTCTTCCTCCTCCTCCTCCTCCTCCTCCTCCTCCCCCTCCTCCTCTCCTCCTCCTCCTCCTCCTCCTCCTCCTCCTCCTTCTCCTCCTCACGTGTGGGCGGCGCGTCGCTGATTCCGGGGCCAGGGCGGCCCCTCCCCGAGCCAGCCCTGGCCCTCTCCGCGCAGTCGAGGAAGTACACGCACGGATTCGGACGCGCGGGTCAGCGACGGGTCCTGTTTTCGTGCAGGATTTGCGCGCTTTGTCGCCAGATGAGGCGGCGTTGGCCCCATGGTTCGGGGGGTATCTTGCCCGATCCGTGAACTCCTCATCGCTTCGTGGGGTGCACGACTGGCATTTGTGGAGTATGTGCGCTGGGGCCCTCTTGGGAGCCTTTTGGAGGCCTCTTAGGGGCCTCTGAGCGCTACTTGGGGGCCCGTTGGGGGCCTGCTGGGGCGTCTTGGGGGCGTCTACGGCTGCCATTTGGGTGGTCTCGGGCCGTCTGGCACCTTCGGAGGCCGCCTTGGCGGCCTCATCTGGGCCGATCCACGGACCTGGCGCCCGCGCGCCAGACCGACGGATGCGCAGTCCATGTCAGCCAGCGCGTGCCTCCCTCATCTAATTATTCGCTCGGCGCCAGCTTCGGTGCCTGAGGCCGCCTGCGCGCTGCCACCTCGCCATCTCTCGGCGGTTGCGCCCTTCCCGCCTCCTCCGCGGCCGCCTCCTCCCTTCTCCTCCTCCTCCTCCTCCTCCTCCTCCTCCTCCTTCTCCTCCTCCTCCTCCTCCTCGGCGGGTGCGGCTGGGCCCGCGATGATGGGACGCTCCCAGCGCCGCGAGCGCGTGGAGGTGGTGCAGCCGCTGGCCGAGGCCCCGTGTGCGCCCCCAGGTTGGGAGAGGCGCCCTAGCTCCAGCCAGCGGCGTGCGTGGAGGCGCCTGCGCCTGGCGACATGCCGGCAGGCGGAGTTGGACTTCCACTGGCTCCTGGCAGAGCAGTGGCAGTGGCAGCTTCCGGGAGGCGAAGAGAGAGAAGCGTGCGATAAGTTGGAGGCGAGGATAGAGCCCAACGTGACCAACTACAGCGCTGCAGTCAGGACGTGCGAGAAGAAACAGGCGAAGTTAGAGCCAGGTAGCCACGACCACGACGCTGGGAACTGCGCGTGCGATCAGCGGGAGGCGAAACGCGAGCCCGACTCGATCAGCTACAGTGCGGCGGCCAGCACGTGCGAGAAGGCGACGGCGAGGCTGAAGACCGACTTCGTCACCACGGAGTGCGAGAAGGGGAAGGCGAAGCAGAAGCCCGACACCCATATCCACGACCCTGAGACCAGCGAGAGCGATCAGCGGGAGGCGAAGAGCGAGCCCGACACGATCAGCTACAGCACTGGTATCACGGCGTGCGAGACGGGGAAGGCGAAGCAGAAACCCGACACCCCTAGCCACGACCTCGAGACCAGCGAGTGCGATAAGCGGGAGGCGAAGTTGGAGCCACACCTCAATACCCTCAGCCCAGGGCTCGGTGTGCGAGGACAGTGGGATGCGAAGAGTGAGCCCGACACGAGCAGCTACAGCGCTGGTGCCACGGCGGGCGAGAGAGGGAAGACGAAGCTGGAGCCCGTCAACCCTCACTGCGGCTTTGGGAGCAGCGAGAGCGAGAAGCGGGAGGTGAAGATAGAGTCCCACATGTGCAGCTACAGCGCAGCAATCAGGGCGTGCGAGAAGAGGCAGGCGAGGCTGGAGCCCAATTCGCCTAGCCCTAGCCACAACAGCGCGTGCGAGAAGTCGGAGGCGAAGGGGGAACCACCCGATTTCTCCGCCGCGCTGGAAGTGAAGAGGAGCATGGCGATGTGGCGAGCTAGAGCTCAGATCTCCACGAAGTGGTTGTGCGAGAAGGGAGAGCTGGGCGGCACATGCGAGAAGCGGGAGGCGAAGCTAGAGCCAACTATCTACCCTAGCTACAGACCTGGGAACGGAGCGCGCGAGTCGGAGGCGAGCCACGAAAGGTGGCTGGCGCGAAAATTCGGGCGCAAGCAGGCGACCCGAACCTCCAGAGTGCCGACGATCGAAGAGTGGATATACGGACCTGGAGGCTTGTGAGAAGGCAGCCCAACGAGCCCAGCTACAGTGCTGAGATCGGACCGCCGTGTGAGAATGAAAGAAGGGAAGGACGGGCGGTGGCAGCAACCTGCGGGCGCTGCCAGCCCGTGCGAGAAGCGCAGCCGTGGCGGCAGCGCGAGGGCAGGCCTCGGGGGACTCCCCCTCGTCCCCCTGAGGGGGGAGCGCCGAGGCCGCCAGGGGTGCCCGCCGCACCGCGCGACGGGCTGCCAACTCGCAGGGAGCGAGAGGTCAAATCTCTGTAAAATCTCCTCCTCCTCCTCCTCCTCCAGCGAGCACGACCCAGAGGACGCTGGAATGTGGTGACAGGGCCGATGGCGGCGCTCATCCAGGGACTTACTGAACTAGGATGGCAGCTACCTGAGCCAGATACTTGGACGGATGCGCAGGAAAATGAATGGAAGATGGCCCAACAACCGCACCAGCACAAGAGGCATGCAAGCCGTGAGCTGCCACTTTCAGACGGTCAGCAATCAGATGACATACTCGGAGATGAAGACACCACCCAACTCATGGCGACCATCACGGCGGACGTCATCAAGGAACTGTGGCAGCAGGCGGCCAGAGATCGCCACGGAGGAGGCTGGAGTTCTACGCCAGACCTCACGACAGCAAGCAGAACCCTACAGAGAATGAGACGTACAGAGTTACATCGGGAAGCTGGTGCGCTAGAAGCAGTTATTTGCAATACCGTCTGGACCGAGGATCGTTGCCGTGCTGAAGGCTACGAGTGTGATGGAGCCTGTACCAGGTGCGCGACAGGCCAGAAAGAGACGATGGCCCACCGCGTCTGGAGCTGCCCTCACACATGTGGTCAGGACCACCCTTGGACCCGTCAGAGTGCCAAGCTATGTGATGAAGCAATCCGAGACATTACCAACGGGACCAACCTGGAGTTGTGGCTAAGAGGGCTACTACCATCCACGTGGAACTCCGTACCGCCCCCGCTTTCGTGGGGCACGCCTTGCCTGCCGTACTACATCGACTGGGACGGGCCGACCGTCACGTTCGAGGGCACGGTGAACTTCGAGGACCGCATCGAGTGCAAGCTGGCCTTCCTGGGCGGCTCGGCTTCGAGCTGCGACGCGCGCCTTGCGCGCGCGGGCTGGGGCGTCTACTTTGCCCAGTCCGTTGCCTGTGTGGAAAATGACGACCCCGACACCCCTCGGCCAGGAGCTTGCGGGGGCTTAGACGGAGCCCAGACGGTCCCGTGTGCGGAGTTGGCGGCCCTCTGGTGGGCCTTAAAAATGACAAAAGGGCCAATCTGGCTCTACACGGACAGCCAGATCGTGTACGACGGTTGGCACGGTTCCTCGGACACCTCGGGAGAACTCAGAGGCTGGTGGAAGAGGGTCTTCACCGAAGCTCAAGGTCGACGAGTGATGCTCAATAAGTGTAATCCGCACCTAGATAGAATTTCGCTAGCCTCCCTGGTCCAGACCCCCTGTGTCTCCCGAGGCAATGACCTGGCCGACAAATTCGCCCAACCAGGAGATGAGCAGGTTTCAGCTGAAATTGACCCAGAGGTCAGAGATCTAGCCCGTGCTGAATGTAAAGTGTGGTTGGTCCAGAGGAGGCTGACTGTAGTCAACGCGGAGTCCGCTTGTGCCGACCATGAGCGTAAGAGCCGCCCGCGTAAGGACTGCCGTGTGTCGCCCGCTGCTTGGCGCGTAAGGAAGGCTCTGGAAGCGTCTTCGGGGCACCAGGTCTCCAAGGTTGGCCCCTCCTGGGTGTGTTGCCACTGCCAGAGTGGCCCAGGGAAGTTTTCTATTTTGGACTGGCTTCGCGGTGGCAGATGTCCAGGACCCCAGTTCCATAGAGTAGAGTCTCAAGGTTTACCTGTGCGCCTTCCCCCTCGATACAGTATCGGGGACAAGGCGGTGCATGAGTCACATAATGCAGCAATTTTGTATGGCCAGATTTTTTGTTGTAGGTGTGGGTGCCTAGGCTCGAAGACCCCCACGGGTGGTAGACTGGGGGCGGGCATCGTCGGCATGTGTAAAGGGCACCCCACCCCTGCAGGCCAAGAGGCCTTGAATAAAATTCGGCGTTGGGAGGTCCCCTCATCGAGGGGTAAGGCCGAGTGGCCCGATGGCACCCCCAATGCCCCCAGGCGCCCAAAGCGTGAAGTGCGCCGCAAGGGTTAAGATAACCCCAGATGCGCCAGCGGCATATCGGCGGGATTTGCTGTCTGGTAAGTAGTCGTCCAGTAATCGTCCTCCTCCTCCTCCTCCTCCTCCTCCTCCTCCTCCTCCCCCTCGTCCTCCTCCTCCTCCTCTTCCTCCGCCCTCTTCTCCTCCTCCTCCTCCTCATTCTCCGCGGCCGCCCTCTTCTGCTCCAGTCGTTCTCGCGCTCGCACCCGGGCACGGCCTTGTTGCTAGCGACCCCCGCATCCGCATCCGATGGCGCCGCCGATCAAAAGCGTGCCCCCCTCATCTCATGGTCTTCCAGCCTACTTTAGCCTTGATCGCCAGAAAGAATTTCAAGCACCAAGGAACCATCGAAGCTGCAAGGTTTTATGCGTCGGGCCCTGGGGGGCGATACCTGTTGGACACATCGCCGGCGTGTCGGGCAGGCACTATTGCGATACTTCTCGGGGTGTTCGAAATCATGCTTGGGATGTGGTCTTTAAGCACGCCGGGAACAACACAACCCTCATCCTGCTCACCCAGCCTCGCCAGCTTTCCGCCCCCGCCACTCGGCGGGGCAGCCGCGCAAGCGCGCGCCTGGAGGCGGCGTTGCGCGCGCACGAGGGGCGTAACTCCCGCCGCCGCCGTCGTCGTCGTGTCGTCGTCGCTGCCGTCGGCCGTCGTCGTCGGCGGCGGCGTCGTCGTCCCGAAACAACAAAACAGAAAACTTTCGGAGGTCCGCGCTAATTCCTTCGATCGGCGCCGGGTCCCCCTGGCGGCGCCTCCAGCGCCGCCTCTGGCGTGCTCCGCGCGCCAGGGAGTTGCCGATTCGAAACATGTCCTATCCCTACGTTTGGCATCACCTTACCTCGGTGCCACGGTGCCGATCGTAAGGATTCCCTCATTTTCTGAGGGCACATCTCTGAGATTATCGTAGCTTTTGGCTTGCCGATCCTGTAGATAGGGATCAGCTCGAGTCTTGCTAGGGTGGAGACCCAGCGCCGATCTAAGAAGTTCGTGCACACCTTCGACAGTTTATCTTCATGCGGTTTTGATGTTGCTCTGGCAGCTCCTGGGTTACCTGGGGGGTGGACGGCGGGGGTCGGACTTGGCCCAGGACTCTTGGCGTGGTCGAAGTGGGTATAGGGAAGGCGTGTGGACGTAGGCAGACAGCAGTTCCTGCCCGTTTTGAGCAGGGCTCGCTGTCAGTGCCGCCGCGGGCGTGTCGGGGAACAAACAATGGCATACGCAGAACAACTGGTAAGGCCGCGCGGAGGTCTTGGATCGGCGCTCGATCCCCTTCCTGGCTCGCTGAGCGCGCCAGGGGCGACGCTAGAGGCGCCGCCAGGGGCCCCAGCGCCGATCCGCGGACTCCGCGCCGACCTCCGAGTAGCTGTTCTGTTTATGTCATTGCCTGTTCCCCCATCGTGGTCCACTTGAGGCAGGAGGTTGCCTGGCCAACAGCTCCCGCGGCCGGTGTTGGACAACACTCGCTGTTGGGCATCGTGCCAATTTCTTCCGCACAACTTCGGGCGGGCCCAGGACTTGGATGCTTCGTTCCAGGGCATTGGGGAGCACCCTCTCAGAGAGCTCGGGGCCGCTCCAGAGCGGCCGCGGCCCCCGACGTCGCAGCCGCTGGACTTGAGAGATCCACGCTTTGTCCCAGTGCGACTTGGTCTTGGTCCCGGCGCCGCCTTGGGTCGATCGCGGCTCTGCGCGAAGGCGGTCGGTCGGGGAGTTGCCCCTCCTCGGGGGGTTTGGCGCTGGAGCGCGAGGAGGAAATGGTCCAGGAGGGAAAGAAACACACAGACACAATTAATCCTCCATTCCCCAGAAAATATAGGAAAATATGGGAAGTGGTGGGGAAGACAAAAACCCAGAAAATATAGGAAAATATGCGGTATCCTTTTATTTGTGTGTATTTATTTGTGTGTCCTGGGGCCCCTTCAGAGTTGTCCCTCCGCGGGGAGGTTGGCGCTGGAGCGCGAGGAGGGAATGGTAGGCGCAGCAACCAAGGAAGAGGTCGGCCTGCCGGCAGGTGACCCCCGCATGAGCGTTGGGCACCTGAGTCGGAAGCTGGAACATCTACATCACTTTATTAGTGAATTTAATTGCTTTTAGGGTTTTAACAAATGGTCGCAGCCACGCAGAGGGCGTGCGTAGCGACGCTCCAAATGCTCGGTCTCCAGTACTTCTACGTGGCGGCGCCCCCGCAGGCACGCAGAGGGCACGCGTGGCGACAGGGGCGTCGCCACGCAGAGCTTTTGAAGACCAAATATTCTGAACACAAATTGTTTCCACGACCAAAGTACCAGTGGCGGGCTGTTTTTTAATCCCAGGACTTTTTGATGGTCGAGGACGACGTGGGGGTGGTGTGGTGTATACTTTGTTCGCCGATGTCCCGGGGGAACAACGAACATGTATACACCAGGGTCCCGTATACACCAGTATCCGCTCTCCAGTGCAAATTCGAATGCAGGGCGGGAAGAATCGTCGGTGTACAGAGTTCGATTCTCTATTAAGGAACGTTCGAGATCGATGAAGAATATGCCCCACGTTATCTGCCCTCAGATCTGGCGCGGAGAAAAGTGCGACGTCGCGAAAATTCCCGACTGGAGCCCCACGGCCCCATCTTTCTGCTGCATTTTTTGAGCGGGATGGATCTGTGATGGCCCCAGGGCCCGAAACCTGGCAAACATGCTTGAGGTGAAACATCGCAACGCCTGGGTCCCCCAGTTATGCCAATACTTGTTCTTGTATGTGCCCATTGCGTGATTGGTGCGTCGCGCTCCGCACGTGAGCGGAGGAGCGAATGCCGGGTGGCTCTGGCCTCAGGCGTGCTGGATATCGCGCAGGACCCGGCTTCGTCTTCATGGCCTCGTCTTCCTTCGTCTTACTGGCCTCGTCTTCCTTCTTCTTACTGGCCGCGCCGCCCCGAGGATGCCGCTGGCGGCGGCGTGCCAGCGCGGCCACGAGCGCGTCGCCGCGCTGCTGGTGGCCCGGGGCGCCTCGCTGTCCAGTCCCTCCGCGAGCTCCAGGCGCGCCCGCTGCAGCCCGCCGCGCCGCGCCTGGGCCCGCGCCGCCGGCGTGTGCGTCGCAGGGGAGCCCCCGGAGGTGCGGCAGCGTGGACGCCTGCAGTGGTGCCGCTCACACGCACGCAGGCACGCGCACGCAGCACAGGCGCGCATCACATGCGGGGGCCGCGGCCCCCACACGGAGCCAGGAGCGCCCACATGGGGTGCTCCTGCGAGTTTCTCCCCAGTCTTGGGATCGAGACCTCTCGAGGCGTCGTGGACTGTGAGAACCTCGGGTGCTGAAGCACACACCACCTCTCTCGGGCGCAGCACGGGCAGGAGGCGGCCAGGAGTGCGATTCGGGGCCCAGGAAGCCCAGGAGTTCTTGGGCGAAGCGCAGCGCAGCACCAGAGGAGGAGGAGGAGGAGGCGGAGGAGGAGGAGGAGGCGGAGGAGGAGGAGGAAACAGGGGGGAGGAGAGGAGGATGAGGAGGAGGAGGGGAGGAGGAGGGAGGAGGAGGATGAGGAGGAGGAGGAGGGGACGAGGAGGAGAGGAGGAGAGGAGGAGGAGGAGCAGGAGGAGCCCTCCCGCGGGCTCCCGGCGCGCCCGCCGCGCCGCGCCGGGGGCCCGCGCCGCCGCCGCTTTTCCGCCGTTGGGGCGGAGGATCGGTGCGGCCGAGTGGGGAACATACAGTGAGCGGCTTGAGTAAGGAACGCTTACTTTTCAAAAGGGGCTCGGCCGTTCCTTGAGGCTTGCATGCGTTACGTATCCTTCCTTGTGCGTTTTTGTTCATCATGTATCGTTCCCTCTGCTTTTTTCCTGTGGAAAACAGGGGCTTCGTTCCTTATTTATCGTTCCTTAGGTCAGGCCGATGACTGTAGCCACTGGGCACAAGGACTGACAGCAGCTCCAGTCAATTCTGAGCAGGGCTCGTTGTCGGTGCCGCCGCGGGCGGTGGCCACTCGAGACAAGGAGGCCGCCTGCCCAGCAGCGACCGCTGCCGGCTTCGGGCGTTTCCGTCCCTATTGCGTGCGCGCCAAGAGGAGTAGTAGGAGGAGGAGGAGGAGGAGGAGGAGGAGGAGGAGGAGTAGGAGGAGCAGGAGGAGGAGGAGGGATGAGGGGGAGAGGAGGGGAAGGAGGGCGGAGAGGGGAGGAGAAGGAGGAGGAGGATGGACGAGGAGGAAAGGGAGGAGGAGGAGAGGGAGGAGGAGGATAGGAGGCGTGGAGGAGTCGTATTATGCTAGGAGGCGGAGGAGGGGCTTGTGGAGGAGGAGGAGGAGCATGAGGAGGAGGAGGAAGAGGAGGAAACATAGAGGAGGAGAAGTGGGAAACAGAAGAGGAGGAGAGGGAATCATACAAGGAATGCAGCACGAGGAAGATGATGATGGTGTGGAGGAAGATGAGGAGGAGGAGGACGAGGAGGAGGGAGCATGCAGGAAACAAGTAGGGAATGAACGGACGATGACAAGCCACATGACTTTCCAGGATTAGGATATGTGTTGTTTTGAAAGGTGTGTGCGTGGGCATGTGATATGTATATATGCTGCTGTGCTGGAGACATGTTCGTTTGAGGTGATATGTGTTGGTGGTCGTTGTTGTTGCGAGGCAACGTAGCTCCGAGATGCCAGGCAGTAAACTAGTACCGATTCCATCCAGGGCACGCATGTTGACTCCCAGAATTAATGCATAGTTTGAAGACTGTCATTCGCTGTCTGAATCGTCTTAAAATGCTGTGCGAATAGAACCCTACTGTCGGTACCAGTTGGTTCTTCGGCCGGTGTAGAACTGGCCAGGTCGGTTGTAATTGGTACTATTCGGTTGGGATTGGTCCGACATGCGGGGCAAACCCCTCCCCCGAGCAGGGGAAAGAGGGGTGTTGGCAGAGAGAAGACGCAGTTGGTTAAACCACCTACGCCCAGAGGGCTAGTAATATTTTGGTTGAGCTGGGATCGGGAGCCTCTCGCGGCCCAGGAGGTGGCCTTACAAGTTACTCGAGCCGGGGCTTGGGACGCCTCCCCCCGAAACGCTGCAGCGCAGTCTTCATCTTGCCCTGGCGGAGTCGGGTTTGCGCTGAGTCGGCGGAGTCCACGCCCGAACAAATACTTCGCCGTTCCTTTTCAACACGCGAGGATGGTCTTGGGGCCCAGCAGGGACCCCTGGAGGCCGAACTCTGCCAACAGCATCCCGTCGTGATTTCGAGGTGCTCATCATGACACAAACGCGTAACTTTCGGAGGTCCGCGTGGATTTCTCGAATCGGCGCTGGGAGCCCCTTCGCGGCGTGCGCATTGTGCCAGGGGCCGCGCAGGAGGCGCCGCCAGGGGGGGGCCCAGGCGCCGATCCAAGAAGTCTGCGTGCTGCGCGTTCATGCCATACTTCTACTTTCCCCGGAAGTTGTACGTTTCTGCTGTACTTGTTTATTTGTTCTACGCCATGTACGTTTAGTGGAAAGAGCGCCAGTGGATCACCTGGAAGACACAAAAGGGGGGGTGTGCTCCAGGGACCCCCCCCCCCTCCCCCCCTTAAGGGCGTCTCGGGGTCCGAGAACCCCCCCCCCCCCCTCCCCCCCTTTAAGGGGGGGGGGTTCGAACCCCGCCCCCCCCCCGTTTGAAAGGGGGGGGGGGGGTGGGGGTCGGCGGGGGGGTTCGGAACCCCTCCTCCCCCCCCACCCCCCTTGAAGGTGGGGTGGGGGGGGGAGGGGGGGCGGGTGGGGGTTCGGAAACCCTCCCCCCCCTCCCACCCTTTCCGCAGGGGTCCGGTGCGAGGTTGGGGGTTTTAGGGTTTAGGGTTTAGGGTTTAGGGTTTAGGGTTTAGGGTTTAGGGTTTAGGGTTTAGGGTTTAGGGGTTTAGGGGTTTAGGGGTTTAGGGGTTTAGGGGTTTAGGGGTTTAGGGGTTTAGGGGTTTAGGGGTTTAGGGGTTTAGGGTTTTAGGGTTTTAGGGTTTTAGGGTTTTAGGGTTTAGGGTTTAGGGTTTAGGGTTTAGGGTTTAGGGTTTAGGGTTTAGGGTTTAGGGTTTAGCGTTTAGGGATTAGGGTTTAGGGATTAGGGTTTAGGGTTTAGGGTTTAGGGTTTAGGGTTTAGGGTTTAGGGTTTAGGGTTTAGGGTTTAGGGTTTAGGGTTTAGGGTTTAGGGTTTAGGGTTAGGGGTTAGGGTTAGGGTTAGGGTTTAGGGTTAGGGTTAGGGTTTAGGGTTTAGGGTTAGGGTTAGGGTTTAGGGTTAGGGGTATGGTTTGTGTTGAGGGTTAAGGTTTAGGGTTAGGGTGAGGGTGAGGGTTTAGGGTTAGGGGTAGGGTTCGGGTTCGGGTTTAGGGTTTAAGGTTTAGGGTTCAGGGTTTAGGGTTAGGGTTAAGGTTTAGGTCATAGGGTTTAGGGTTACGGTTAAGGTTTAGGGTTAGGGCTAGAGTTTAGGGTTAGGGTTAGGGTTAAGGATTAGGGTGTAGGGGTTAGGGTTAGGGTTAGGGTTTAGGGTCAGGGTTTAGGGTGTAGGGTTTTGGGGGTTAGGGTTTAGGGTTAGGGTTAGGGTTTAGGGTTAGGGTTTAGAGTTTAGGGCTAGGGTTTAGGGTTTAGGGTCAGGGTTGGGGGTGAGGTTAGGGTTTAGGGTTAGGGTTAGGGTTTAGGGTTTAGGGTGAGCGGTAGGGTTGGGGTTAGGGTGTAGGGATAGGGTTGAGGGTTAGGGTTGAGGGTTCAGGTTTAGAGCTTAGGTTAGGGCTAGGCTTAGTGTTAGGGTTTGGGGTCAGGGTTAGGTCTACGGTTAGGGTTTAGACTTCGGGTTAGGGATTCAGGATTAGGGTTCAGGGTTTGGGTTAGAGGTTAGGGGTTCGGGGGAGGTCGGGGCGGGGGTGGTAAGGGGGGGTTTGGGGTTCCGGAAGTGCGCCTCGCGAGCCGGGAAAGGGGGGGGGGGGGGCAGGGGGGGGGGTTCGCCAGACGCGGTTTTTGCGTGAAAGGGGGGGGGGGGGGGGGGGGGTTCCCCGACGACGGAGCGGGCAAGGGGGGGGGGGGGGGGGGGGTCGCCGACGAAGGCTTCGGGCAAGGGGGAGGGGGGGGGGCGGGGGGTTCGCCGACCACGGATCGGGCCAAGCGGGGGGGGGGGGGGGGGTTCCGAAACCCCCCCCCTTTGGCTGATCCAGCGGCGCGCCCTCCGTTTAGTGTACGCTTAAGTGTACGTATTGTTCTACGTCATGTACGTCATGTGCGTCATGTACGTCTAACTGTTCTACGTCATGTGCGTCATGTACGGTCTAATTGTTGTCTTGTTTTGGTTGTGCGTTTAGTTGTACGTTCTACGCCATGTACTGTAGAGGCCTGACGGCCGGTGCCGCCGACCCTGATCGAAAGGGCTAGGAGTGGGGGGAGGAAGCGGACGAGGAGGAGGAGAAGGAGGAGGAGGAGGAGGAGGAGGCGGAGGAGGCGGAGGAGGCGGAGGATGCGGAGGATGAGGATGAGGCGATGAGAGAGGAGGAGGAGGAGGAGGCGGGAGGAGGAACAACGGAGGAGGCGGGAGGAGGCGTGAGGAGTGACGGAGGAGGGAGGAGGGGAAGGAGGAGGAGGAGGAGGAGGAGGAGGAGACGTCCTGCATTTGTTTCTTCGTCGCCTCGCGGCGCGGGGACGCCAGGGTCGACGGGGCTGCTCGCGCCCTCCTGCCGGCCTCCGCGCGCGCTCCCGCGGCTCGAGCGGGCGCGCGGGCGCCGCCCGCTCCGGGCTTTCCCCGCGGGCGCTGCCTTCCCCCCTGGCCTCCTCCTCCTCCTCCTCCCTCCTCCTTCCTCATCCTCCTTCCTCCTCTTTCCTCCCCCTCCTCCATTGGAGGATGCCCACGATCACAAGGGGGGGTCAGTGTTCCTCGATTTACCCCCCCCCCTTCCGTCCTTTCCCCCCTGGAGGACATCCAAGTCGCCGGTTGGGACCGTACTAGAGCGCTCTGGGTGGCTTCTTAAGCTCCTCTTGAGCCTCTTTTAGACCATCTGAAGTATCCTAAGGGGGTTCCGAGAGCATTTGGAACCGTCTTGCGGCCCCCGTCGGGCTTTCCTCTTTAACGATATGTCCGAAGTTCTCTTGAACCATCGTCGGCTGTCTTGAGCCATCTTGGAGGGCATCCTGGAACATCGGACGCAGTTTTGGAGTCATCTTGTGACATCTCTGGCACCCTGACACCTCGCGGCCCGCCCCAAACATTCTCAGAGAGGGGAGGTGCGTTGGCGTGGGCGAGCTTGCCCTAGGAGCTAGCGATCCTGAAAGATCGCTGCTGTGCTCGATCGGCCTCCTTCACCCTCCCCCTCCCCCTCTCCTCACTTTTTTCATCCCCCCCTCCCCTGATTTCCAGGAGTGCTAAAACATAGCCTGTCTCGATTCTTTAAAACCTCGGCTGGAGTTTGATGGCGAGGTCCCGGTGCTATACTTCCCAGATCCCGCCTGGAAGGTCCGCGTCCCCCCCCCCTCCTCTCCCTCCTCTCGCTCCTCTTCCTCCTCTCCCTCCTCTCCCTCCTCTCCCTCCTCTCCCTCTTGCTTCTTTTCCTTTCTTCTCTATCTCCCTCCCTCTCCCTCCTCTCCCGCCTCTCCATCCTCCCCCTCCTCCCCCTCCTCTCCCTCCTCCCGCGGCGCTTCCCCTGCCGGGGGCCGCAGGAGCCCCCGCAGGTCGGCCAGAGGCGCCCCCCCCCCCCCCCCTCCCAGGGGCGCAGCGACCAGCGGAGAGCGGGGGAGCTCCACCGAGTGGGAGATCGACTACTTTATTAGTGAATTTAATTGGTTTCAGGGTTTTAACAAATGGTCGCAGCCACGCAGAGGGCGTGCGTAGCGACGCCCCAAATGCTCGGTCTCCAGTACTTCTACGTGGCGGCGCCCCCGCAGGCACGCAGAGGGCACGCGTGGCGACGGGGGCGTCGCCACGCAGAGCTTCTAAAGACCAGATATTTTGAAAACCAATTGTTCCCACTACCAAAGTACAGAATTGACTTACCTTGCACATGTCTTTTTTTCGGATGCAACGCCTGGGAGGTCAAATCCTGATTTTGTCCTGGCCCGACATCCGGCTTCATTCCGCCTAATCCCGCTTCATCCGGCTTATTCCCGCTTAATCCCGCTTACTCCAGCTTAATCCCGCTTAATCCGAGGCCCTTTCCGGCGTAACAGCTCCGAAATGGGGCTTAATTCTCCTTACTCTTTCCGGCGAAAACCTCCCAGTAGGTGCCTCCGAATCTTTTGGCAGGAAATGTGCGGCGAAAGTTCAACTTCGAGGTAAGTTGATCCTGTAGGAGATCTCCTATCCGATGTGTTTGCACAGGGGCAACGTCAGGGGGGGCAGGCTCAGGAGCAACTTTCGGGGTCGAGGTTCGAGCTCCGAGGATCGAGGCTTGCTTTCTGGACGTTCCTGGTCCTCCCGGGGCGCCCTCGTGGCCACGGCTGGATCTGCCTCGAAATCTTGGTCCGAACGCACCCGAAGAGAGGTCTTCGGCCGGGCGGCGCGGGCTTCGGGCAGCTGGTTTCTGCTCGCGCCCTCGCGCGGAGCGCGATGAGGGCGGGGAGGGCGAGGAGGGCGGGGAGGGCGAGGAGGGCGGGGGGGGAAGGATGAGGAGGGGGGGAGGAGGAGGAGGAGGAGGAGGAGGAGGCGGAGGAGGAGGAGGAGGAGGAGGAGGAGGGCGAGGAGGGCGAGGAGGGCGAGGAGGGCTAGAGGAGTGGGGAGAGATTCTGAGTTTTTTTCCCTGTTGTTTCCGGCGGTGGTTTCCTCGGCGGTCTCGCAGCCCTATTTTTTTCTTTTTTTTTGTCTTCTTCTGGGTCTCCTTCTTTTTTTGTGTTTTTGTCCGGTTTTTTTTTTGTTTTTTTTTTTTTTTTTTTTGTGTTTTTCCTTATTTTCCCTTCTCTTTTTTTTTTTTTTTTTTTCCTTTTTCTTTGCCTTTCTTCCTTATTTTTTTTTCTCGTCTTCTGGGTGCTCTCTCCCGCAGCTGCGCCTCGCCTGAGGAAGAGGGGGCCCGGGTTCCGGAGGAAGAGGGGGGGAATTTTCCACAGTACAGCGGCGGTGGAGCACGCTCTCTCCGATCTCTGCTCGCCGTTTGGGCTGGCGGTGGGGCCCAAGCGGCGAGTTGCCTTGTGATTTGACGCTCCCGGGTGCCACCTGGAGACCGAAACCATGCCCAGGGCCGCCAACGATCCGATTGGATGCGATTCGATTCGCTGGCTGGGGCCGCGATTCCATTTCGATGCGGTCCGGCTCTCTTCACCGGCACCGGCCAGGGCCGGCCGGACGCGGGGCGCGGCGATCCGATGCCGATCCGGCTCGGGACGAGTCCTTGGCGATCCGATCCTTGGCTCCTCCTCCTCCTCCTCCTCCTCCTCCTCCTCCTCCTCCTCCTCCTCCTCTTCCTCCTCCTCCTCCTCCTCCTCCTCCTCCTCCTCCTCTTATTCCTCTTCCTCCTCCTCCTCCAGCGCAGACCTGCCCGTCTGGGGCCCCGGGCATGCGGCGCCTGGACTTCTTCGCAGACGTCACCGAGCGCGTTCCACTGCTCGCCAAGTGCGTGCTCGCAGACGCCCGAAAAAGACACATGTCTGCTGTGATGTACTTTCTTGCAGATCCTCCGCGGGGGGTCCAGGCCATTTGCGAGTAGTTACTCTGCGAGTCGTGAAACACGCTCGTCTAATCGGGGGCGGAAAAGAGGGGGGTGATGACTGGGGGGGGTGGATATCGTGGCGCGGGCCATGATATCTCCGCAGATTTCATGGCGCCTTTTCTTGTTTCGTTACGTCCCTTGCCCCCCCCCTGGGCCGCGCACATGCCGCCGGCCATGATTTGCACCCCCCCCCTCTTGGACACCCCCCTCTTGGCCGCTCCCGATCTAAGACGGGCGCCGGGCCTTGCCGCCGAGAGGTCGGGGAGCTGCTGCCGCTGCTGCGGCAGTCGCGGCAGCTCGCGGACCCCGCGGTGTGCGCGGCGACGATCGGGGCGCTCAGCAGGCGCCCCGTCGAGCCGTCGTCGTCGTCGTCGTCGTCGTCGTCGTCGTCGTCGTCGTGGTCGTCGTCGTCGTCGTCGCCGTCGTCGTCGTCGTCGTCGTCGTCGTCGTCGTCGTCGTCGACGTCTCGGAAAACAGAAGCAGGCATGCACATACACTTTCGGAGCTCCGAGGAGGTCTCCCGGATCTGTCCGGCGGCGCCTCCAGCGCCGCTTCTGGCGCGCTCCGCGCGCCCGGCAGGGAGGGGGTTCCAGTGCCGATCCAAGAAATCAGGGCGGAATTCCGAAAGTTTCTCTGTATGCTTTTTTAATTTTGCCTTTGACTCATCGTCGCGGTCGTCAACGTCGTCGTCTTCGTCGTCTTCGTGGTCATCGTCGTCGTCGGTGTCGTTTCCGCGCTCGTCGTCGTAGTTGGCGTAGTGGTAGTCGTCGCCGTCGCCGTCGTTACCCCTGTCGCCGCTTTCGTCGTCGTCGCCGTCGCGGTGGGTTGTCATCGCGGTGGCGTCGTCGTCGTCGTCGTCGTCGTCGTCGTCGTCGTCGTCGTCGTCGTCACCGCCGCCGCCGTCGTCGCCGTCGTCGTCGTCGTCGTCGTCGTCGTCGTCGTCGTCGTCACATCGTCGTCTTCGTCGTCGTCGTCGTCGTCATATCGTCGTCATATCGTCGTCGTCGTCGTCGTCGTCGTCGTCGTCGTCGTCGTCATATCGTCGTCTTCGTCGTCTTCGTCGTCGTCGTCGTTCTCGTCGTCGGGGCCTTGTCCACGGTCGTGCGCAGAGGGTTTAGCGAGGCCCCCGAGGGATCTCCGACGAGGCCCGCCGCGGGAGGCCTCCCCGAGGGGGCTCCCCGCGAGAGGAGGCCGAGGAGGCCGAGGCATAGTGGAGGCTCCCGCGACGGCCCGTGCCGCCGACCCTGAAGGCGGGACCTGCCCCCCCAGACATGATCGCGTCGTAAAAAATTCAGGACGGAGGTTTTTCATGATTTTCGACCTCTAGAGGCCCTCGCCGGGCCTCGGGACCGTCAAAAAACGACTCAGGATGAAAAACCGGCCCCAAGGAAAGGGTCTGGACTTCCGGGGACGCCGTCCTGAAAAAATCAGGACGTCGCATGTCTGGGCCAGGAACCCCTCGGGGTTGGACAGACCTCCTCCCCTGACACGTCGATTGAGGAATTGGCCGTTCTCGGTTCGCGAGAGGGCGTCGCGGCCGTCGTTTTTGCGGGTGTCCAGGTCCGTCGGTTTCGGTCCCAGGCCGTGCTCACTAAGGGGAGGTCTACTAAAGGGAGGTTTGTCCACCGCCGAACCCCGGCGGCGACGCCCCCCCGTGGGACCCGCCGGGACCCCAGGGGGGGGCGGTGTTCTGACCCGGGACCCCCCCCCCCTGGAAGGGAGGGGAGAGAGGGGAGGGGCTCGGCTCAGCTGCGACGTTTCCTCTCCTTTCCCTGTTGCTCATGTTCCCTGGGTCCGGCGACGACGGCGACGGCGACGGCGACGGCGGCGGCGGCGGCGACGAAGACGACGAGGGCAAGGCATCTCGCACGCGCCGGAGGGCCGGCGGATCTTCACAACAGCAGCGTCTGCACGATCCCAGCGCGACTGGCAGCCTCCCGCGCCCGCCCGTGCGGGGCCCAGCAGGCTCGCTGGAGAGGAGCGCTGGTGCTCGGGCCTCGCGGCACCGGAGCATCCCCCGAGGATCGGTATGATTCAAGAAGTGGCGAAGCGTCCTGGCTCGCCGATAGCCCTACCAAGCAATGTTCTAAGAGCTTTTTGTGGCTTCCACGAACTGTTCTTAGAACACTTCTCGCTGGGACTGTCTTTTTTAACACACCAGGTCTATGTTCTAAGAACATTGCTTTTGTTCTTAGAACATTTTTGGGTTCTAAAGAACACTTCGTGGTATGACTATAGGAATGCCGGGACGGTCGGTCCCTGCTCAAATGATCGAAATGGGTACGGGGAAAAAAGGTACGGAGACCGACAGCAGTTCTGGTTCATTTTGAACAGAGCTCGTTGTCGGCGTCGCCGCGGGCGCCGATGAGACAGAAGGCCACCTGCCCACATCGGCCGCTGTCGGTTTCGGACAATGGTTGTTGGGCATCGTGCTTATTTGTTCCATACCACTTGCGGGCGCCCCAAGTGGAGCCTTATGGAATTCCTCCTGCTCTGCTCCGCCTGCTCCTTCTGCCGCCTACATCCTCATCTTCCTCTTCGCTTATGCCTTCTTCGTTCCTCAGGATGCAGCAACTCCTGAGAGGTTAGATTCAGAATCGGCGCTGGCATATCCCTGGTCGTAAATTCGCTTGATTTGGCGCAATCCCGCTTAATCTGGCCTAATTCCGCTGAGTCCAGTCCAGCTTTATCCTGGGCTTGATCTGGCCTCATCCCGCTCAATGGCCCCTTAATCAGGGCTAGCCCTTACTCGTTCTGATGAAGGCTTCCCAGGAGTTGTCTGCTAACCTCCTCCCCCTGCGCGCTCTCTCTCTCTCTCTCTCTCTCTCTCTTTCCGTTTTTCTTATCTACTCCCTCTCTATCTCTCTCCCTCTCTCTCTCTCTCTTTCTTTCGCCCAAGAGATTGCAGACACCGAGCGCGAGTAGCTCATCAGCACAAGCGAGGAGATGTGTCGGCCGAAAGCGTCACAAAGCGGTTCCGCCTGTTCTCCCGGACGCTCCGCCTTCCCGCCCTCCTGCTCCGTGCCGCTGGCGCTTCTCAGTGCCTCCCCTCCTCAATGTGATGAAGGAGGGGCGACACCACCAACCACCAGGTGGGCCACCCCCAGCGGGGAGGTCCACGATGTCTCCCCGTGCTGGGAGTGGAGAGGGATCACGCCACCAGGAGGACCTTCGCTGGTGCCTCGCCCTCGTGGTGTCAGTGGTGGTGGTGGTGGTGTCGTTTCCTCTTGCTCCTGCTCGAACCCTCAGCCCTTACTTCTTCCAGCCCCTCCGATGGACTTGCGGACGTCTTCTGAGCCGAACTACGGAGCAAGCACACATACACACACACCTTTTTAAACTTGTCCTTTGCTTGAGCATCATTTGCTTCACTTGCCGGGGTCCTCTTGTGCCGCACTGGTGGCCATTTGGCATTCGAGCTCGTTTTCTGGTAACACATCTTGCGCCCTTCTGGAATCTCTTGGTATCGTTTGGGGGAGGGGACAATTCTGAGGGATCCGGGACAATTTGGGGGGCATTTATCATCCCGCTGCGGCCTTGGGGCGGCTCATGGGTTGATCGGGTGGAGAACGGTGACTCCTGGTACGCCGCTCGGGGCCATTTTCCATCGCCGCACCAGGCCGAGGAGGACAAGAGGGAGATGGTGAAGGAGGATGGAAGTCCGACGGTGTGGAAGGATGAGTTGCAGGGGAAGAAGGCGGAGGAGGAGGAGGAGGAGGAGGTGGAGGAGGAGGAGGAGGAGGTGGAGGAGATCTGCGATGAGGATGCGCATCAGGAATTGCGGGAAAGACGAAAGTAGGCAAGATTGGATACTTGGCGGTGTTGGGGGGGGAGGCAGCAGCAACACATGATTATGGGGAGGTGAAGGAAGAAGGAAGACGAGCAACAGGAGAAGGCAGAGGTGCAGGAGGGCAGCGACGCACACGCTCATCACGGCAGGCGTTGCCCAGGACCTTGTCCAGAACTTGCCTGCGCACGAAGCGATCGCATTGTGGCTGTGCAGAGAATGCGCCTGCGCGACGCAGGAAACGGGGCTCTCGCGCGCAAGCTGCCCGCGCAGGGTCGATCGCAACCACTGTTCCGTTTCCAGTGTGGCGTGCCGCGCTGGCGGCCCGCGCCGTGCCGCCGTTCGTGCCGCCGTGCGTGAGACCCGCCTACGCCTGAGTTTGACGCGAGGGTCGAAGGGAGACACACGGCGTAGGCATCAACGTCTGGAGCTCCGCGCAGACCCTTGGGATCCGCGGCGGGTCCCCCCCCCGGGCGGCGCCCCTGGCGCCGCCCCCGGCCCGCTCCGCGCGCCGGGGCACGGGTCCAGCTCCGAGGCAAGAGCTCCGCGCGGCGCGCCGAAAGTTTCGGGCTCCTCTCGGGGAGGGCGGGCCTCGCCGTCGCCATGATCCCAGACTAGTGGCCCGGTTGTCCACCACCACCAGAAGTTGGAGGGGGAGGGGGTCCTCCTCCTCCTCCTCCTCCTCCTCCTTCCCCTCCTCCTCCTCCTCCTCCCCTTCCTCTCCTTCCTCCTCCTCGTCCTCCTCCTTTCCTCCCTCCAACTTATGGTGGTGGTGGTGGAGAACACGCCCATCACAGACCCCCGACGTCACTTGTTCACAGAGTAGACCCCCAGACGCCACTTGCTCACAACGTAGACCGTCCCGGGTACACCGGCGTTTCGTCTTCGAGGCGTCTGTGGACGGCCCCGAGGCCCAGTGAGGGCACCCAGATGCCGAGAGGGGCAAGAGTCTCCCGTTTTTTGCACGACGCGAGGGCCTGTTTGGAGAAACCAAGAGGTACCCATGTGGAGGCAGAGTGTGGAGGAAGAGTTTTGCATTGTTTTTTGACAGGGATGGTGGGTGGTGGTGGTGGTCCGCATGAGGTCGACATGGTTCAGGGTTGGCCGCCGGCCGGGAGGGGGAGGGGGTGTACATCCATAGGGAACAGTGATAAACCCCTCCCCGAAGGGGACGAGGGGCAGCTGGAAGGCAAAACACGCTGAACCACCCACGCCCCAAAGGGCCTGTGGGATTCCCCTTGCTGTATTTTTTTTTCACAGCGCGAGGGCCTGTCTGGAGAAACCAAAGGTACCGATTTCGCCACTCCCCAGACCTCTCCCGCCGTGCGCTCTGACTAGAATCTTGAGGCGACTCTCGTCGTGGCGGCGAGGGCCTCCCTGGAGGGCCGAAGCGGCGACAGCGAAGCCATGGCCGTCGGCATGGGCACCTTTTCCTTCTCTGAGGGGTCTCGCCGTCGCCGCGCGAGGCGCTCCAGTCTCCAGAGACGGCCTCGCCTTCGAGGACCGAGGGCCCTGCCATCTCTTCCTCGGTGGGAGGCGGCGGGAGACCAGCGGAAGCTGGCGGAAGCAGAAGACGTGCCCCCAAGAGACGGCTGCTTCTTCTGGGTTCAGGGTGTCCAGAACCCGCCGCGTGGCGCTGGCCGCCCCCGCTCCCGCCGGAGGCACTCGGCCTGGCACGAGGCCCTTGGCCTCTTCGCAGAGCTGCCCGGGCGCTCCGTGTTGCCCGACACGGAGATCTGCGCCGCGGCCGCTCAAGCGCGGGGGCCTCGGATCGGCATGGAGGTCAGAGGAGGAGGAGGAGGAGGAGGAGGAGGAGGGGGAGGAGGAGGCGGAGGGGGAGAAGGAAGGAGGGGGAGGAGGAGGAGGAGGAGGAGGAGGAGGAGGAGGAATAATAATCAATAATCCTGGAAGAAGAGGAGGAGGAGGAGAGGAGAGGAGGAGGAGGAGGAGACGGGGGAGGGGAAAGGGGGAGGAGGAGGAGGAGGAGGAGGAGGCGGAGGAGGAGGAGGAGGATTCAGCAGAATAAGCAGAAAACGCATATTCAGAATACTACCACTGGCACTAATATTGTTAATGCTAACGAGAAGATTCATACGAATATTCAGAAACAACACACTACTAAGACGAATAATACAAATACTAAGGATACCATTCATAATACGCATACTAAGCATAATAAGACGACTATTCATAATACTAACAAGAAAAAGCAGACGTTTACTACAACTAATACTAATAAGTCCACCAAGAAACCACGAATCCGAACAATAAGATTAGTCATACTCCTGAGAATACGATTGCGAACACTAAGAATAATGAGGAGGAGGAGGAGGAGGAGGAGGAGGAGGGGGGGGGGAGGGGGGGGGGGGAGGGGGAAGGGGAGGGGTAGGGGGAGGGGGAGGAGGGCAAGCTAGGTGCGCTCGCGTCATATCTGACATCCTACCCTCCCTCCCATCCCTTACCATGGCGTAGATCCCCTCTCTACTCGCACAGTCGGATGTCGAGCAGGGCAATGATCCCGAAAGGGTACGCGATGCATTGTAGAGCACGGCATGGCATGGCGTAGAAGAGCACCGCGAAGCGTAGTATCAACCTAGCATTGCATTGCATGCCGTGGCATGGCACGGGAAATGACGCGAGCGCTGCAGCGGGAGCACGAGTCGGAACGAGCGGAAGCGCGGAAATGAGGCCAGCGTTGCAGCGGGAGCACGATTCGGAACGAGCGGAAGCACGGAAATGAGGCCAGCGCTGCAGCGGGAGCACGATTCGGAACAAGCGGGGCCCGAAAATGAGGCCGGCGCCTCAGCGAGAGCAGCATTTTGGAAACAAATGCAGGCGAGAACCCAACTCCGGGGAATCCTGTGTGTACAAAAACAGTACGCGGGGTGGGGGGGGGGCACATACTTTCAAACCGTCATCAGGGGAAGAGGGAAAGTAGTATTCATATTGAGTAATTGTGGAGGGGGTGGGGGAGGGGGAGGAGGAGGAGGAGGAGGAGGAGGAGGAGGAGGAGGAGGAGGAGGAGGAGGAAAAGGAGGAGGGGAACGAATGTTGGATGTCCGCTCATGTTGGGCATGGGAATCAGCTGTTTCTGCACGTGGACCGCATTTGGACCGCATTGTGTCTTTCTTCCTGCCCCTCGCCTTCCCTGTTCGGTTTTTTTCCCCTTTGGAGATACCGGACACGACTGGGGGGGGCGAAGGAGGGGGGATTGGGGCTTGTCACGTCACGATTCGCGCTGGCGCCGTCTTGGAATGCTCAGGACTGGATATTTCTTAACGGTCGCTCCCCTAGCAGAACAGTCTGCTACCAGCCCCCGTCAGTACATTGTATCGTTTTTCCCCCGAACCGCGAGAGTCGGGTACGATGTGCACGCACCAACCTCGTGAACGCTCACCAGCGGTCTTCCTCTTCTGGATGGCGCTATGACGGGTTTCAGCTACACCTCTGCTTCAGTCAGCCATGATGAGTCAGGCCCCCTTTTTTCCCGCACCATCGTTCATTCGTGATGCTGCAGTGAGCCTTTGGCTGTCGCTCGCTTTTGCCCCCTCCCCCTCCCCCCCGCCGTGGTCTTGGGCGGCCCGTTTCTGTGTGCACGCTCGTTGGCTTCGCTTAGCCAGTGGCCATCCGGACCCTCTTTCTGCCTGCAGCCTACAGTGCCGCGCCGTCTGTCCTGGCCTCGCCTCCGAATGTGGTCGGCTGGAGCTTGGTGCCGAAAGGGCGACTTCTCCCCCCCGTTCCGCCGCCGGTCGCCGCGCCTGCGTCCCCACCTGCGGGGATGTCTGCGCCGGTCACCTGCCGACCCATTATGCGTCTCAATGAGGGTCATTCCGCCCCTGGCACGTGCATGCGCCTCTGAGGCCAATTTACTTCGTTCCGCGTTGATCCCGCTCCCTGTCCCTCGCCTTGGAGCCGCGAGCCAAAAAAACGTATCCCCACCAGCCTCAGTTTTCCCGCGCAGCCCCGCTGCTGCTTGGTGAGTGGGCCGGCCGGCCTGCGGCGCGTCCAGTAGCTAATTCGGCCGTTTCCGTGTCCCGGAACGCTTCTGACTCCGCCGGCGCTTTCGCTTGCGGACGCGACCGAAAAAATATCCCCACCAGCCCATCCAGGAACAATGCCCAGGCGAGTTGCCCTGATCAGGGAAATGTGGAACAAAGAAAGAGGACCATCATCGAACCCAAACCCTGGATCACATCCACCTCTCGGCGGCTGCTTGGAGTCTCTTGGGGGCCGCTTGGGAGCCTCCTGGGGGGCGTCTTGGGGACCTCGTGGAGGATTCTTGGGCGCCTCTTGGGGCCATCTTGGGGCCCTCTTTGGAGCCTCGAAAGCTCTCTTGGAGCTTGGTGGAGTTCGATCAAAGAAAGGGATCCCTCAATCAGCACTGCCTGTCTAGACCGTCTAAAACCGCATCTTGCCGCTTTTTTGAAGCGCTTTTGGAGCGCTCTTGGAGCGCTGCTTGGGGCCGTCTTGGTGCAATATTGGGAAAGTGCGCCAGTGGATCTCCCTGAATACACTAAAGGGGGGGGGGGTCCAGAACCCCCCCTCCCCCTCCCTCCCACGAGGGGGGGGGGCGGGGGGGGGGGGTCCGACCCCCCCCTCCCCCCGGAAAGGGGGGGGGGGTTCCGACCCCCCCCCCTCCCTTGAAGGGGGGGGGGGGTCTTCCGACCTCCCCGGTCGGGGGGGGGGCGACGAACGGATCGGGGAAGGGGGGGGGGGTCCCCTAACCCCCCCCCCCTTGGGGAGATCCAGCGGCGCACCCTCCAATATTGGGCCTCTATTGGGGGCTTATCGGGCCATCTTGGAGCCATCTTGAGGCCTCGAAAGAATTTTGACATCTTGGGATCTTGGAGCATGTTGGAAGCCATCTGGAACCATCTAGACCTATCTTGAACCATCTTGGGGGTCAACTTGGGCTCTCTGAGGCCCTGCTGGAGCCATCTTGGGCCATGCTGGACGCTCCATCGACCCGCGATCCGCCCGTTCAGGTCCAGGGGTACGAGGTAATTTGGGAGAGGGGTCGAGACACCTTCCCCGACCACAAGCCGTCTCGCTCACCCCCATTTGCCCTCCCAACGTACAAGTAGCACCCGAGCCCCAGCCTGTGCAGCTGGTGCAGCGGTCGTCTTCGGATGGACAGCAATTGGGAACCACGAAGACCGCCGTTTGGCTCCCCCACGGCCTCCGATCAAGCAATGCTTTATTTGGGTTGTAGTCCGACCCGCCTCGGGTGGCTGCAGTCGGTGCAGGGTAGGGCCAGAGCACACGTCACACGTGTTTTGATTGGTCTTGTTCCTCCCCCTCTCCCTCGCCCGCCCGCTTCGCCCCCGCAGGCCGGCTTGGCCCACAGCGCATGACGGAGGGGAACCGAGCCCTGGCTGGCCTGGTAGTATCACTTCACACGCGCTTCTTCCATACTTGATTACCCCAGCACTTCGCATGACGCCCCGCTCCCTGGCTGGGGTGGCGCTGCTGTGCCTGCGCGGCGCGGGCCTCGCCGGCGCGCTGTCCCTGAGAGAGGTCGACCCGTCTCAGGATGCAGCTCCTCGGGGGCCGAAGTCAGCATCGGCGCTGTGGTGCATGAGAACCGGCCTGATCTGGCGCAGTCGCGCCTGATTCTGCTCGATCCTGCTGACTCCCGCTCATTCCGGCTCCATCCTGGGCCTAACTCTGGGCTCGTGCTTGCTCCATGGCCTGCTGCTCGGGCTCGCTGCACGATGCTCCGTGATCGTTCTCGCGACGGGGCTCCAGAGAAGCTGCCTCCTGACCCATCGCTCCTGCTCCACGAGGGCGAGGTGGAGCCCACGAACCAGGCCGTGCACGTCCGCCCCGAGCAGAGGCGCTCCTACCGGAGCCTCGGGGGCGGGGCCGAGCGGGCTGGCGAGCACCTGGAGACGTACCGCGCCCTGGGCCTGCTGCTGGACGGGGCCCCGAACATGAGCCACTCGAGGCACATCTCGGAGGGCGCCCACTGCACACTCCTCCTCCCCTTCCTCCTCCTCCTCCTCCTGCTCTTCCTCCTTCTGCTCCTCCTCGTCCTCCTCCTCCTCCTCCTCCTCCTTCTCCTCCTCCCATCCTCCTCCTCCTCCTCCTCCTCCTCCTCTTCCTCCTCCCCCTCCTCCTCCTCCTCCTCCTCCTCATCCTCCCTCCTCCTCCTCCTTCTCCCCTCCTCCTCCTCCTCCTCCTCCTCCTCCATTCCTCCTCCTCCTCCCTCCTCCTCACCCTCCCCCTCCCCCTCCCCCTCCCCCCCTCCCCCTCCCCCTCCTCCTCGTCCTCCTCCTCCTCCCCCCTTCCCCTTCCCCCTCCCCCCTCCCCCCCCCTCGTCCCTCCTCCTCCTCCTCTTCCTCCTCCTCTTCCTCCTCCTCCTCCTCCTCCATCCGACCCTGGCCGAGCCAGTCCTGGGCCCAGGAATGGCGCCTATGCCTTCGAGGCCAGGCCAGGATGGCGCATGCACCGATCCTGGGCCCAGGATAAAGTCGGGCACGTCTTCTACAGGAGGACTGTTCAAAATCAGCCTCACGAAAGACCCAACCATATGCAGCTGCGAGTACCGCATTGTGGGTACCGCTTTCGATGGGGCTCCTTATGGGGGCACGAACCGTGTGAGGGGCGTGCCAGATTGGGCGCTGTGGTGCCATGCGAACCCTCCCACTGGAGCCTTCTGTGGAGCATCCTCTAAGGCCACGAACCGTGTTCGGGGGTGTATCGAATTGGGTGCGGAGGTGCCATGCGAACCCTCCCACTGGAGCCTCGGGTGGAG